TTGTTCTGTCTTGTGTTGATGAAATTAATACCCTATTAATACCACATTTTGTTCTGTCTTGTGTTAATGCCACATCACCCCTTCCACCTCACTCAAATGTAGATATAAAATCGGAGATACGTAAGTTCTATTCAGTTGTGTATTGGTGAACTAAAGTCTTTGAAAATGTAATAAGTTTTACGAAACGCGCCCGTGTCGCGTCAGACTAGAAATAAAAATTAATTTTGGAGAATTGATTTTTGATTTACCTCCAACAGTGAAGCGTAATGTACGAAAGATTGAGAAAATTCGTGTTAGAATTATTAATCTTATTTTTTTCGGTCTATTTAATATATATATATATATATATATATATATATATATATATATATATATATATATATATATATATATATATATATATATATATATATATATATATATAATATGTGTGTGTGTGTGTGTGTTTTCCAAATTAACTCTCAGTACAAAAAAGCGGCAACTTTCAATGCAAAATAGAACTGCAAAGCGTATTTGAAATATACTGCGCTCGTACATCCAATATATTGCAGTCTGGTGGGTGTAAAATCAAGACTTTTCCCAATATTTCTACAACCATTTAGGTGAGAAATCGGCAATTTTAGGGGCGGTGCATTTGAGCCTAGCGGGCTCCCCTGCCCAATATAGCGGCGCCCCCTGGCTACGCCAAACACCCCTCTCGTTTTATTCTCGCCAACCTCGCTTTTAGCTCGGTGTTTTTTTCCTCCCCCTCTCCCTACCAGTGTTTTTTAAATAAATTCAGGCGCTTGCGAGGGCTCAGTTATCACTTTGACGCGTGAATTTATGGGCGGGGTAGTGGAGGTTTATTTAGAATGTTGTAGCGATCTTTCTCAGTGGAGTGAGGGTTCTTTCTCAGTGGAGTGGGGGAGCTTTCTCAGTGGATGGAGGTTCTCCTCACGTTTACCTTCTCAGTGTGAGGGAACTGAGAAGGGGGGAGGGGAGGGAGGGAAAGTGGAAGGGGGTTATAAACGTATGGAAGGAGTGGGAGAGGGAGGGACAATAGTACAGAAAGGGAAAGCAAAAGAAAAGAGAAGGAACAGATGAGAGAGTAATTAAGGAAAAACGGGCAGGATGCCGTAAGGTGATAAACAGGGAAGAGAGAGAGAAAGAGAGAGAGAGAGAGAGAGAGAGAGAGAGAGAGAGAGAGAGAGAGAGAGAGAGAGAGAGAGAGAGAGAGAGAGAGAGAGAGAGAGGAAAACTGGCAACTGAGAAACACAGGTGATGGTCCAGGTGTAGTGATTACATATAACTGAATATAATAATACAAAGTTATATTTGCGAAAATTCCTATTGTTAAAGAAAAGAATGTTAAAATTGATGTACCTGTCCTTGGGGGTCGGCCACTGGATGGAATGAACATAGACTGAGGATAGGGTCTCCTAAAGCATTTTTCATTCATAAACAAGTGGGTTTGGCGGCTGGATTAACGAGCCTTTGGTCATGAGGACAGTCTGTCACCCTTCCCCCTCATTGCAATCTCCTGCCTGGCCTGATATCCACGCCTACACTTGTCTGTGTAAGCGTGGATATCAGATGTGTAAGCCAAACGGATATTATTCATTCACAAATGAATAATATCCGTTTGGCTTGAGGGAGAGCGTTATCTGGGAAAAGCGCCAAGCCATCACGACTATATAGCACTGGGAAGGGGTCAGGATAAGGATTTGAGATGGGACGGCGGAAAGGAATGGTGCCCAACCACTTATGGACAGTCACTGCCCCCTGATAATTCCCTTCCCTATTAGTAGGTCAATATTTGCAATAGTGGGTGCGGTTTTTAACATTAATTTGTGTCATATTCCCAATTTAACCTCCATTTATTTAGCCTCTGCTGAAAAATAATAGTTGCCCCTGAAATATCATCAATTTTCTCTAGTACAAGAACATTCGAGTCTCAATTTTGATTTCATAACTGTGTGAAATTTACCATAAACAAAAAATATTAGCAGTTTGAAATCTATATTAGATTCATATTTTTCTTGCTGTGTTTATTGCAATATTTCTGTTGTATAGTGGTGGATTATGCTACCTGTGGGGGCGCATCTTTATGTAAATATTTATATGTAGACATTCGAATGTTTTGTTTGTTTATATAGAGAGTTTCAACAGTAACCATTCACAGCACCTCAGTTAAATGATGATAATACCAGCTTTAGCTGTTATGTAAATACAGTATGTTACCTCTCCATTGCCCAATCAGTTCTTCTCATAGCGGGTCCTGTCCCACCTTAAACAATAATGGATGAAGTAGCCACCATAAAGGGGTGTTTGACTTGCTTTTTGGCCCTCTGTGTGTGTTCTTCCTTTGTGCTTTATTTTACTCCGTCACAGAGCATGGTAACAGACAGGGTGTTGGGGAGACAGGGGGCAGGGGAGGGGGTCCCTGTTGCCCCCCCCCCCCCTTCCGCTGTAGAGGTGTTGGGGTTGGGTGGCTGAGAGGGGAGGGGAGGGGGGGGGGGGGGGGGGGGGGGGAGGGGGAGAAGTGCCAGAGTTTGTAATTAAGGTATAAATTAGTTTGTTCCCGCGGGAGCCATTACAGTCACACGCTGATTGCAAATTAAATGAAATGCACACTGCTTGACGGGCCAGGATTTACTGCAGCGTGGGCCTTCCCGTCCCTCGCTGACTTCTCTGTCTCTTCCCGTCCCTCGCTGACTTCTCCTCTGTCTCTTCCCGTCTCTCTGTCTCTCTGTCTCTGCCTGTCTTGCTGACTGTTCTTTGTTAGTTCGACTTGATATCGTTGGCTAGCATCTTGTATGACAGTAACCCAATGTTATCTTGTCTCATCTTGGTATTCCTTACTTCTCCTTCCTCTCTCTCTCTCTCTCTCTCTCTCTCTCTCTCTCTCTCTCTCTCTCTCTCTCTCTCTCTCTCTCTCTCTCTCTCTCTCTCTCTCTCTCTCTCTCTCTCTCTCTCTCTCTCTCTCTCTCTCTCTCTTTCTCTCTCTCTCTCTTCACTAAGAGACTAGGGGTCATTAATCTGTCACTTGAGGAACCTGGTGAAACTGCAAGCAAGAGCTGTTATCCTTCCTCACCTCATATGAGGCCTGCTGCTAGAGACTCGTTTATTCATGAGTTTATTATATATATCATTAGAAATAAACTTTATTTAACTCTATGAAACCAAATAAAGTACTGGTTGTCCACGAAGTTGGGCCAGGTGCGGTACTTTGCGAATGTTGGTCTTGTACATAACCATTAAGCCCATCAACTTGACGACGGTGCTGCAGGCTCTGAAGGTCAGACCCTTCTCACCAGACTTGATTTAAGACTAGAGATACAGCCCGTCCTCCTAAGGTTTACCAACGTCAGGAAACTGTCGTACTAAAGTGCCCCCTTTATCCTAACCTACCAGAGGATCCATAACAGAAAACGGGACAGTACGTCAATTTTGCGAGAAGCTACGACTCTCAAAAGTCATTTTCTAGTAAGATAATTTTGGCCCTTAGGTATAAAGTATATATTAAAATGGCGACGTTATATTAGGAGGACGGGTTGGGGGACGAGTCGTTCTTCTTCTTCGGCTCTCCACTGTGTCCAGCAGTGTGATGAATGATGGAGGACAGGCAGCCCAGGTGAGGGGTGCATACTCAAGATGGGAGCCAACTTGTGCTTCATATTAAGATTTGGACAAGTTCACTACTACTCTCTCTCTCTCTCTCTGAGAGAAAGTGGGAAAGGCGAGAACCCACTGGTAGGGGGAGGAAGCTTTGTGTTGACAACGGGGGTGTTATCTTACTGTTGAGATAAGACGGGGTGGTGGTGGTGGTGGTAGTGGTGGTGATGGTGGTGGTGGTAGTGGTAGTGGTGGTGGAGGCGACTACCTCCACCAAAACACCAGCATTAACCACACACGGCGGTGACAATAATCTTTTAAACCCCGCCATGAGTAGCCGCCGCTCACAAAGCCACTCTCCACTACTAAATAGACCTACCCATAAACCCTTCATTAAAAGCCCACTCCCCCTCTCTTGATCCGTAACTCTCGACCATAAGCGTCACCCCCATACAGCACTCTCCTGCCTCAGGAACGTGACAGCACATCCTGTGTGACATAGCTGTCAGCGGACGGCGCCCCCAGTCTGAGCTCATCCTCCAAACGACTCATTACGAGACAAAAGCGAATCATCTAAAATTATCTTCATATAGGTACTTAGGTGCTGGCTAAGGGCTATCGAGGAGAGGTTAAGATTCTGTCCACCTGTTTGTTAAAGTGCTAAGTCGTAAGTAGAGATTTATATATTGTAAGTGTGGTTGATAAGCTGATAGCCGGTTCTGTGGTTGTGTGTGTGTGTGTATTCACCAAGTTGTGCTTGCGGGGGTTGAGCTTTGGCTCTTTGGTCCCGCCTCTCAACTGTCAATCAACTGGTGTACAGGTTCCTGAGCCTGCTGGGCTCTATCATATCTACACTTGAAACTGTGTATGGAGTCAGCCTCCACCACATCACTGCCTAATTCATTCCATTTATTAACTACTCTGACACTGAAAAAATTCTTTCTAACGTCTTTGTGGTTCATCTGGGTACTAACTTTCCACCTTGTTCGTGTCCCACCAGTGTTGAAGAGTTTGTCTTTGTCCACCCTGTCAATTCCCCTGAGAATTTTGTAGGTGGTTATCATGTCTCCCCTTACTCTTCTGTTTTCCAGGGACGTGAGGTTCAGCTCCTTTAGCCTTTCCTCGTAGCTCATTTGGGGAGAGGGTGTGTGTGTGTGTGTAATTACCTAAGTGTAGTTACAGGATGAGAGCTACGCTCGTGGTGTCCCGTGTGTGTGTGTATACTCACCTAGTTGTACTCACCTAGTTGTGCTTGCGGGGGTTGAGCTCTGGCTCTTTGGTCCCGCCTCTCAACCGTCAATCAACAGGTGTACAGGTTCCTGAGCCTATTGGGCTCTATCATATCTGCACTTGAAACTGTGTATGGAGTCAGCCTCCACCACATTACTTCCTAATGCATTCCATTTGTCAACCACTCTGACACTAAAAAAGTTCTTTCTAATATCTCTGTGGCTCATTTGGGCACTCAGTTTCCACCTGTGTCCCCTAGTGCGTGTGCCCCTTGTGTTAAATAGCCTGTCTTTATCGACCCTGTCGATTCCCTTGAGAATCTTGAATGTGGTGATCATGTCCCCGCTAACTCTTCTGTCTTCTGTGTGTGTGTGTGTGTGTGTGGCTACTGACCTTCCACAGGATGCAGCCCAAAACAGCTGTCAAGTCAACCTAAGTCTAATCCAATATTTTCCACCCATTCCCCAGAGACGCCCCAGAGACGCCCTCAGCAAGATGTCTAACATCAGCGCCCCTCTGAGTGTTCGCACGCCCTCACCCGCAGGCTCCCTGTCCCCAGACATACCCCATGCAAGTGAGTATACACAGTCTTTGGATATACCAGACACTATTGACTATACCAAATCTCCAGACTAACCTCTTTATTAAATGTAATCATATCCACCATTATTGCGGAAAGATTCACAGGTTTCGAAAATGGCTTCGTCTGCAATGTCATTTCCTATTATTTCCATATGACTTGGCACCCAGTTGATAAGTACCCGTCGGCCTTGTCGTTTGAGTGTTTGCATTAATGATATGACATTTGTGATCAGATGGACGTTATCACATATGTGTTCGTAAATGCTTGATAAACTGCTCAGCCCTTCATAGTTCCTCCCCCCCCCCAAAAAAAATGCACCTATTCAAACTGCAAATGTGAAATGTGTAACATCATAATAGCATGAAACTAAGCTAAGAATTAAGAATACTTCGTAAGGCTTATTTGGCCATTACGAGGAAACTGCTTTATAAAGGTTCTAAGTAGGATATCCGGCGGGTCCCGGGTCTCGCTCACCCATTGCTTGCCCCCATCTTCCTGTCTCTCCTCTCCTTTTTTACCTTTTCCACGTTCACCATTCTCTCTGCCTTCTCTCTCTCTCTCTCTCTCTCTCTCTCTCTCTCTCTCTCTCTCTCTCTCTCTCTCTCTCTCTCTCTCTCTCTCTCTCTCTCTCTCTCTCTCTCTTCCTTTGCCTCAGAAAATGTAATAGTGTAACCCAAATTAATTCACGTTCCTCATTTTCTAGTAAACCATGAAAATGCACGGGTAAACTGCAGGGGTAGTCATAAAACTCCACATAAAATACATCCCCAATTGTATTTCACAATTAGTGAAAATCTAATTAGTGAATTAGTGAAAAAAATTAGTGAAAAGGTTAGGGGGGGTCGCTATGGATGCCTATATTTCTTCACGTGGCACTGGGGCCGACCCCGACTGTCCTATGACACTCCCTCACCCATTCCACCTTCCTATATGTCATCTTGGGAAGTTGGTTGAAATTCATCTGAAGAGTCTGGGCTCCAGCCTAGACAAACAAACATTCTCTTTTATAGATTGTTATCCTTCCAAGCTCCTGTGAATGTTTAGACAACGCTTGAAACCAATCGTCGATTTGCCCATAAGACAATCTCTAATCTCAGGCTCTTAGGTTATATTTGTCCACCAGAAAAAAGGCTTTAATTAAGTTATCTTGCTGTTGACAGCTCACTATAATTAAGTTATCTTGCTGTTGACAGGAGCGCACTATCTGCGCGCAGGCGCGACTGATTTCTCTGACGCCTCGGACGACGAACCAGAGTTACGTGCGCTCTCCGACTCCTCCTTGGAAGGTAGGCTGTATGTCCCTTCCCCCGGTGCTGTTTCTAGGCGTGGTAGAGGTGGGTGATTATTGGGTAGTATAAGAATGATGAAGATTGATGAAGATTAAGCCACCCAAAGAGGTGGCATGGGCATGAATATCCCGTAAAGAGAGAGAGAGCTACTGATCAGTGTATTAATCATCCCGCAGCATCGCCCTGCACGTCACCAGCGCCTCCCAGAATCGTCGACTACATGCCCAAGAAAGTCCAGTTTTGCCAAGTCGACTCTCAAGGTGAGTATTTCCGCTGTTACTCACCCCACACACCCAAACTCACTCACCAAATTTGGCTCATTTATTCATTAGCCAAACTATCTCACTCAACCACCCAAACTAACTAACTCATCCACCGAAAATATGTCTCACCTACCAAGACTTATTCATTTATCTACACAAAATTACTCACCCATATAAATTAACTTGCACACTTACCTAAACTATCTCACTCACCAGAGACCTGTCCTCTTAAAAATAACGTCGCTTTTGGCCGTTTGCCCGTATGGCCGAAAGTGGACATAATTTGAAAATGAAAAAAATAAAAAAAATTTGGGATTTTTTTTCTCTACAACAGTAAGTTAAGGGTCCTCTGGTAGGTTGCGTGGGCAGGAAATTCTCATAAAGTTTCAAAACGTTATGAAAAACGTTAATTGAACGTTTCTTCTTCTAACCTTACCGAGTAAGCCGGACGACTCAAACAGAAAACGGAATAGTATGTCCCTTTTGTAAGTCGATTTCATTTCAAATTACGTCCACTTTTGGCCATAGCGCGCATACCAGCCAAAAGTGACGTTATTTTTCAGAGGAAGGGTTGGAGCGTCGCCAAGATCCAAACTCGCACGGTAGTAGGCCCGGAATAAAGGTTTCTAAGCCTAGGATAATCTAGGCTTTAGAATCTAGGCTTACTAGGCTTTAGTAAGAAAAAACTCAAACATTATCCTTCACCTTTATCCTGCTCTTACAACTTTAATATTACACAGTTGTAAGCACTGTACTAAAGGAATGATGTTGGTCGAGTGGTTAAAGTGTCCTGTACGCCAGATGCAGAGTACTCCTGGCAGTATGGGTTCGAGTCACTTCTGGGGTGTGAGTTTTCAGTTGCATATATGCCTGGAGACCGTTCAGGCTTGTTCGCATATTATTGAGTGTATCCAGAGAAGGATGGCTATGCTAATCCTAGCAGCAACCTTCCAGTTTGATAAGATATTAAGATGACATTTACATTCCTTTACAAATTTGTAATGCAAGACGGGAGAAATAAATGGCGGAGTTTAACAACCAGGATATAAGTAAAAATATTGCTCCAAATTTACAGTTGCAGATCTGAGGGCACCTGTCCTCTCGAATAGTACATCGCATTTTGACGTACAAATCCCCCAACGGCCAAAATATGTACTATCAATCGAAGAGGCTCGCCAAATGGACCAGAAGCCAAATTTTCCATTCGTAGGTCTTTGGATTAGCTTTGGGCATGTTTTGCATATTTTCGATATAAAAAGTCGTAACTTCAAACTCCAAATATGTGAAGTGAGCCAGAAATCGGCTCCAAAATAACACTCATGGGTTAGATTTGCAATATTTCTGATATTTTGAAAACTGTAGGGGGGGTTGGAAAAATTTGACTCATCGCAGTTTTCACTAATTAGCATATTTTCGGTATAAAAATTCGTAATTTCAGACTCCAAATCTGTTCACTGAAACAGAATTCGGCTAAAAAATAACGCTAATCAGTCAGATTTGTGATATATCCGATATTTTGAAAACTGTAGAGGAGTTTGGGCAAAATGTGACCCATCGCCGTTTTCAGTAATTGGCATATTTTCGGTATAAAGGGTTCTAATTTGAAAATGAAAATAGGTGCAGAGAGTCAGAATTCGGCTAAAAAATCACGCTCAAAAGTCAAATTTCTGACATTTCAGATATTTTGAAAACTGCCGGGGGGGGGGGGGGGGGGCAAAATATGACCCATTGCCGTTTTCAGTAATTGGCATATTTTCGGCATAAAGAGTCGTAATTTGAAAATGAAAATAGGTGCAGAGAGTCAGAATTCGGCTCAAAAATCACGCTCAGGAGTCAAATTTCCGACATTTCATATATTTTGGAAACTGCAGGGGGGTTTGGGCAAAATATGACTCATCGCCGTTTTCAGTAATTGGCATATTTTCGGCATAAAGGGTCGTAATTTGAAAATGAAAATAGGTGCAGAGAGTCAGAATTCGGCTCAAAAATCACGGACAGGAGTCAAATTTCCGACATTTTAGATATTTTAAAAACTGCAGGGAGGTTTGGGCAAAATATGACCCATCGCCTTTTTCAGTAATTGACATATTTTCGGTATAAAAGTTCGTAAATTGAAAATGAAAATAGGTGCAAAGAGTCAGAATTTGGGTAAAAAATCACGTTCAGGAGTCCAATTTCCGACATTTCAGATATTTCGAAAACTGCAGGGGGGTTTGGGCAAAATATGACCCATCGCGGTTTTCAGTAATTGGCATATTTTCGGTATAAAAGGTCGTACTTTAACAACGAAAATAGGACCAGAGAGTCAGAATTCGGCTCAAAAATCACGCTCAGGAGTCCAATTTCCGACATTTCAGATATTTTGAAAACTGCGGGGGGGGGGGGGGGTGCAAAATATGACCCATCGCCGTTTTCAGTTATTGGCATATTTTCGGTATAAAAGGTCGTAATTTGAAAATGAAAATAGGTGCAGAGAGTCAGAATTCGGCTCAAAAGTCACTCTCAGGAGTCAAATTTCCTACATTTCAGATATTTTGAAAACTGCAGGGGGGTTATGGCAGAATATGACCCATCACTGTTTTCAGTAATTGGCATATTTTCGGTATAAAAGTTCGTAATTTGAAAATGAAAATAGGTGCAGAGAGTCAGAATTTGGGTAAAAAATCACGTTCAGGAGTCCAATTTCCGACATTTCAGATATTTCGAAAACTGCAGGGGGGTTTGGGCAAAATATGACCCATCGCAGTTTTCAGTAATTGGCTTATTTTCGGTATAAAAGGTCGTATTTTAACAACGAAAATAGGACCAGAGAGTCAGAATTCGGCTCAAAAATCACGCTCAGGAGTCCAATTTCCGACATTTCAGATATTTTGAAAACTGCGGGGAGGGGGGGGGGGTTTGGGCAAAATGTGACCCATCGCCGTTTTCAGTAATTGGCATATTTTCGGTATAAAATATCGTAATTTGAAACTGAAAACAGGTGCAAAGAGTCAGAATTCGGCTCAAAAATCACGCTCAGGAGTCAAATTTCCGGCATATAAGATATTTTAAAAACTGCAGGGGCGTTTGGTGAAAATATGACCATTTGCCGTTTTCAGTAATTGGCATATTTTCGGTATAAAAGGTCGTAATTTGAAAATGAAAATAGGTGCAGAGAGTCAGAATTTTGCTCAAAACTCACGGTCAGGAGTCAAATTTCCGACATTTCAGATATTTTGAAAACTGCAGGGGGGTTTGGGCAAAATATGACCCATCGCTGTTTTCAGTAATTGGCATAGTTTCGGTATAAAACGAAGTAATTTGGAAATGAAAATAGGTGCAGAGAGTCGAAATTCGGCTCAAAAATCACGCTTATGAGTCAAATTTCCGACATTTCAGATATTTTGAAAACTGCAGGGGGGTTTGGGCAAAATATGACCCATCGCAGTTTTCAGTAATTGGCATATTTTCGGTATAAGGGGTCGTAATTTGAAAATGAAAATAGGTGCAGAGAGTCAGAATTCGTTTCAAAAATCATGCTCATGAGTCAAATTTCCGACATTTCAGATATTTTGAAAACTGCAGGGGGGTTTGGGCGAAATATGACTATTTGCATTTTCATGTAATTGGCATATTTTTGGTATAAAAGGTCGTATTTAAACAACGAAAATAGGTGCAGAGAGTCAGAATTCGCCTCAAAAATTACTCTCAGGAGTCAAATTTCCGACATTTCAGATATTTTGAAAACTGCAGGGGGGTTTGGGCAAAATATGACCCATCGCAGTTTTCAGTAATTGGCATATTTTCGGTATAAAAGGTCGTAATTTCAAAATAAAAATAGGTGCAGAGAGTCAGAATTCGGCTCAAAAATCACGCTCAGGAGTCAAATTTCCGACATTTCAGATATTTTGAAAACTGCAGGGGGGGTTTGGGCAAAATGTGACCCCATCGCAGTTTTCAGTAATTGGCATATTTTCGGTATAAAATATCGTAATTTGAAACTGAAAACAGGTGCAAAGAGTCAGAATTCGGCTCAAAAATCACGCTCAGGTGTCAAATTTCCGACATTTTAGATATTTTGAAAACTGCAGGGGGGGTTTGGGCCCCCATTGCCGTTTTCAGTAATTGACATATTTTTGGTATAAAAAGTCGTAATTTCAAACTGGAAATATGTGAAGAGAGTCAGAATTTTGCCCCAAAATATTGCTCAGGAATCAGATTTGGGATATTTATAATATTTTGAAAACTGCAGGCAGGTTTGGGCAAAATGTGACCTATCGCCGTTTTCAGTAATTGGCATATTTGCGGTATAAAAAGTCGTAACTTCAAACTGCTAATATGTGCAGAGAGCCAGAATTTGACTTCAAAATATGCCTCAGGCGTCAGATTTGAGATATTTGGGATATTTTGAAAACTCCAGTTGGGTTTGGCAAAACGTGACCCATCGCCGTTTTCAGTAATTGTCATATTTTCAATATAAAAAGTAATTTTAAACTGCAAATATGTGCAGAGAGCCAAAATTCGGCTAAAAAATAACGCTCATGTGTCAAATTTCCGATATTTCGAAAACTGCACGGGGGGTTTGGGCAAAATGTGACCCATCGCCGTTTTCACTAATTGGCACATTTACGGTATAAAAATTCTTAATTTAAATTCCAAATGTATGCAGTGAGCTAGATTCGGCTAAAAAAAAACGCTCATGAGACAGATTGGCGATATTTCCGATATTTTGAAAATTATAGGGGGGTTTATGAAAAATGTGACCCATTGCCGTTTTCACTAATAGGAATATTTTCGGTGTAAAAATTCGTAATTGCAAACTCCAAATATGTGCAGTGAGCCAAAATTCGGCTCAAAAATATCGTTCATGAGTCAGATTTGCGATATTGCTGATATTCTGAAATCTGTAGGTGATGGGGGAGGGGGTAAAATATGACCCATCACACAACACCTGTCAAAATTGCCTTGATGCAACACATTAAATGGGATTCTTGGCATACTGTAATCCTCCTGTAATGTTATTTGTCTATTTGTACTCACTGAATTTGTGCGCCCCTTGAGGGACTTGAAGTAGAAGGGGTAGAAATAGCCTAAGTTACTCTATCCCTTTGGGATGTATTTCTTTCTTATCTCAATAAACATACTTGAACTTGATGCAACACAAGAATCAGCAGCCTACGTCTCATCTCTCTCTTGCCTCACTTAAGCTTCAATTGCAGCCTATTATTTATCCCTATTTAATATGCATCAATATAATTAAATAATGACAGAAATATCCTATCCTAATACACAATCATTTTCTCTATAAACACCTGCATGTATAAGTCACTATAAACACCAAGTAAATAGCATGTTGTTTAGGTTTTAGAATAACTTAAAAACTAATTATTCAATTTTTTTTTACTATTTTAATAATTAATTTGTATTCTAAATTTATTTGTCTATTAACTTTTCACCTTTTGTCTAATGTTTGCGTCGAGGTTGAAGCATCATATTAGCATTCAGAAATTGTTTTACCCCGAGTGCTATTGCCGAATAAATGGTCCGAGTTTAATTTGATTGCACGGCATTGTTCAACTAACTGGTTACCATTTTACAATTATTTTTTGGGGGGTGGGGTTCGACTCCCGCGTGTTGACGGCAGAACACTTGTCGTCATGCTTAAGGTAACTGTACGCATGTTGGCTGTATACAGTCAACCCGTTTTCCTAATAGAACGTCGTATTTTGACGTATTACTCCTACCTAAGGCCAAAAAAATCGTTCTTTCTCATTTATGGCACTTTTTTCATCAGTTGGTCCTATCTCCTATCTGGCGCCTGACAGCTGAGTGGACAGCGCTTCGGATTCGTAGTCCTGAGGTTCCGGGTTCGATCCCCGGTGGAGGCGGAGACAAGTGGGTAAAATATTTCTTTCACCCCTGATGCCACCGTTCACCTAGCAGTAAATAGGTACCTGGGAGTTAGACAGCTGCTACGGGCTGCTTCCTGGGAGTGGAGGGCTGGTCGAGGACCGGGCCGCGGGGACGCTAAGCCCCGAAATCATCTCAAGATAACCTCAAGATATCTCGGAAACTAACATAGTGGCAACATTTTTGTAGGATAAAGTGGGGGTACTTATTTATATATAAAATATACATATTTATTTATTTATTTATATACAAGAGGTTACATTGGGTTTATGAGAGTACATAGCATAATGTGTTTACATTCTTGTAAAGCCACTAGTACGCGCAGCGTTTCGGCCAGGTCCTTAATCGAACAGATAATATTAAGTAGGTAATTTCTAGCAAAATTTATAAAATGCTAACAGGTACAATGTAAAGTTTCTTAATGCCTGTTTGTTTTCATCCCATCGTAACCTATCTTCTGGTCTTTCATCCTACTTGACTATTATTTTATGAGGAAAATGACTAATAATTTGGTTATAAGCGTTTTATTTTATACGATACAATGGGAACCACATTTCCCAGGAGGATGTGAGAAAGATCCAGTCTCAGGCAATACATTCCGAATCCTTCTCATTGGCCCCTTATAGCAATTTTTAGAAAATGCATTTAGTAAATTGTTAGCTTGGTACTGTAGCTCTGTTGACTGGTTGTTAGTTGTTACTTGGAGATGATTTGTGTGTAATATGACCGATTAATAAATGGTTTAATAGGTTTACTAACGTAGATAAAGGTATTGGGATGATTTTAAGTGAAAATAATGTGACAATTTTTCACCATAAAACTTTCAAAATTTATAGGGGGGGGGGGCTTCATTTATTTAGAGTAACGTTACATCATTTTAATTGGCCTTTTTTTCATTTTAAATTCTTCCCCGTTCTCTGTACCACTCCACCACAGTACAGATTTATCTCTGGACGTTTCTCACTTCTTCCAAGGCTATATCACTCCCCATTGTTACTACCTATGCAGGCCACCCAACCACTTGAGCTCTACAACCGTAGAACGACGGTAGAGCTCTCTACCGTCTAACGCAGGTCGGCGTTCAATCCCCCAACCGTCCACAAGTGGTTGGGCACCATTCCTTTCCTCCGTCCCATTCCAAATCCTTATCCTGACCCCTTCCCAGTGCTATATAGTCGTAATGGCTTGTTACTTGTTCCTATTAATTCCTTCGCCTCCCCATGCAGGCGGCGAAGGCGAGATCGATGAGAAGAGAGGTGTTGCGTGGTCAGGAAGGAGGGACTCCCAAGGCCCCACCATCGTCGTCTCTGATGCTGACACTACGGAGGCTCTGTTGGGGACCAGGCCAGGTGAGTGTCGGGGTAAGCAACACATGTTATATACAATATACAAGTTTTATTGATTTTATAAAACATCCGGTGTGTGTGTGTGTGTGTGTGTGTGTGTGTGTGTGTGTGTGTGTGTGTGTGTGTGTGTGTGTGTGTGTGTGTGTGTGTGTGTGTGTGTGTGTGTGTGTGTGTACGTATACATGTTGTATGTATGCGTTTCAAGCGTTTCTTAAAACATATTTGTCTAAATATGACCACATTTCTGGCATTGTTGATCTTGCACTGTAAGCTGTCTGTAGTTCTATTTTCTTAGTACAGTATTAGTATTAATAAGAGCAATCATATAAATAATGGTAATGTTTTCTCACAGACATAATAACATAGGATAAAAACCCACACTTGTGTATTTGTGAAATTTATGTAAGGAATTTATTTGCATCAAGTCCTTCACACACTCCTGGGACCAGATACACCAAGCCATTCACTTCATGCCGATTCACCATGCCAATCCTGACCTCAAAAGCTTCATTGAAGGTTGTAACAGAACCCATGAGCACCACACCAGAAACAAATACAGTTTTGATATTCCAAGAGTACGACTTAATCAAACTAGAAATGCTCTACAAATCAAGGGACCCAGAATGTGGAATGACCTTTCCAGTCATGTTAAAAACTGTACCTCTCTCAACCGTTTAAGATAAAAACGAAGCACTACCTAATAAATTCCCTGTAACTTACCTTACCCCTCTATTGTCAACCCATGTCTGTTTTTTTAAACAACGCTGTTTGTCGACCTAATTGTATTTGTGCTGCTTTTTCAGCCATGTTCCCCCTTTTTTATGTTTATTTTTATTTATTCTCAACACATTTTATACTTTAAACTCAATTAGTATTAAGTTTTAGTCTTTAATGTTTTTCCTGCCCGAAACGCTTTGCGTAATAGTGGCTTTAGTGCATACTAATAGTATGTACTAGCTCTTATCTATAAATCTATCAATTTTTGTAAAATCTCTTGTATGTATGTACCTTACCTGAATAAACATTTATTTATTTATTTATTTTTTTAAGCAGTTACGCAAGAACTTACGAACGTGTACATCTTTTCTCAACCTTTGGCGGCTTTGTTTACATTTATTAAACAGTTTACAAGCATGAAAACTTCCCAATCGACTGTTGTTATTGTTATAAACAGCCTCCTTGTGATTCAGAGCTCATTAACTGTCTAATAATTGTAAACAAAGCCGCCAAGATTGATAAAAGATGCACACGTTCGTAAGTACTTGGATAACTGCTTCGTGAATCTGTTTCCGTCCCTGAGCCCATTATGTGCCTCTGTATTCCTTTCCACTACCGCCCACAAGATGGGTATAGGGTGCATAATAAATGAACTAAACTAACTGAGTGCTTTGTCAAGGTCTTAGTGTGTGCTTAGATATAAGTCTGGTTCTAATCACACACTCAGACCTTCACAAAGCACTCAGGAGAGTGCGAAAGACTTGGTGTAAATAAATTCCTTACATAAATTTCACAAATACACAAGTGTTGTTTTTTGTGTACCCTAAGAGCAATCATGTTTTCATTCTTTCATTCATTCAATTAATCATTCTGCCCCAAAACGCTGTGCGTACACAGCTTTACAACTATGTAAAACGCATCATGCTATGTAATCTTATAAATTCAATGTAATTTATTATATATATATATATATATATATATATATATATATATATATATATATATATGTCGTACCTAATAGCCAGAACGCACTTCTCAGCCTACTATACAAGGCCCATTTTGCCTAATAAGCCAAGTTTTCCTGAATTAATATATTTTCTCAAATTTTTTTCTTATGAAATGATAAAGCTACCCATTTCATTACGTATGAGGTAAAAAAAATATTATTGGAGTTAAAATTAACGTAGATATATGACCGAACCTAACCAACCCTACCTAACCTAACCTAACCTATCTTTATAGGTTAGGTTAGGTTAGGTAGCCGAAAATGTTAGGTTAGGTTAGGTTAGGTAGGTTAGGTAGTCCAGAAAACATTATTTCATGAAAACTTGGCTTATTAGGCAAATCGGGCCTTGCATAGTAGGCTGAGAAGTGCGTTCTGGCTATTAGGTACGACATATATATATATATATATATATATATATATATATGTCGTACCTAATAGCCAGAACGCACTTCTCAGCCTACTATTCAAGACCCGATTTGCCTAATAAGCCAAGTTTTCATGAATTAATGTTTTTTCGTCTACCTAACCTACCTAACCTAACCTAACCTAGCTTTTTTTGGCTACCTAACCTAACCTTACCTATAAATATAGGTTAGGTTAGGTTAGGTAGGGTTGGTTAGGTTCGGTCATATATCTACGTTAATTTTAACTCCAATAAAAAAAAATTGACCTCATACATAGAGAAAAGGGTTGCTTTATCATTTCATAAGAAAAAAATTATAGTAAATATATTAATTCAGGAAAACTTGGCTTATTAGGCAAATCGGGCCTAGAATAGTAGGCTGAGAAGTGAGTTCTGGCTACTAGGTACGACATATATATATATATATATATATATATATATATATATATATATATATATATATATATATATATATATATGTCGTACCTAGTAGCCAGAATGCACTTCTCGGCCTACTATGCAAGGCCCGATTTGCCTAATAAGCCAAGTTTTCCTGAATTAATATCTTTTCTCTAATTTTTTTCTTATGAAATGATATAGCTACCCATTTCATTATGTATGAGGTCAATTTTTTTTTATTGGAGTTAAAATTAACGTAGATATACGACCGAACCTAACCAACCCTACCTAACCTAACCTATCTTTATAGGTTAGGTTAGGTTAGGTAGCGGAAAAAGTTAGGTTAGGTTAGGTTAGGTTAGGTAGGTTAGGTTGCCGAAAAACAATTAATTCATGAAAACTTGGCTTATTAGGCAAATCGGGCCTTGCATAGTAGGCTGAGAAGTGCGTTCTGGCTACTAGGTACGACATATATATATATATATATATATATATATATATATATATATATATATATATATATATATATATATATATATATATATATATATATATATATATATATAAATATTACCAACAAATTCATGATTTTGAAATTGGCGGGGTATAGCATTCGAGTATCGACGAATCATTTTTTTTACCTTCCTATCTGTATTTCACCCCTGATGCAAATAATTACCAAATAACCATTGTAACAAACTTTGCCTCTATTCCCCCTTTCCTTCCCCTGTGCCTGTGGGCGGCGGGGGGCGAGCAGGGTCAAGGGACGAGAGTATTGAAGACACAGTTGGCACTCTCAAGATGGCCTCCCAGAGACCCAAGTCGCCCCGGCCCGTCACTCCTCGCAAGGACGAGGCCAACGAGTCCTTCTGGGACAAAATCGGCACCCTGGGCCGGAAGAAGAAGATCAAGGAAGGTATGTAGGGGTATAAGGGAGAAGGAGAGAGAGAGATATATAGGTTAAAATAGGTGTTTGTAAGCAGGAGTGGGGGTGGTGAGATGCCTTTTGTTTATGTTGATCAGCTGTGGGGTTTGGGGCCCTTATTCACGTGACTGTGGGTGTGTATGTGGGGTATATGTGGGGTATATGTGGGGGTGGTGGTGGTGTTACATACCCTAATTGGCAGGTTCATGTAGTTAGTCGTGTGGGACGGTGTTATGTTAGACGGTATGTGTGGGTGTGGTATGTGTGGGTGTGGGTTGGGTATCTTGCTATGTATGTATGTATGTGTGCATATATATATACATGTATATATATATAAATATATATATATATATATATATATATATATATATATATATATATATATATATATATATATATATATATATTTATTAAATATACTATACTATACTATATTATAAGACTATATATTGTTCTCTAGGCATATCATAGGAAGATGCTGGGCTGTTCACTTTCTTAGCCTATGTTAGAGCATCTATTAGTACTCCTCTCAGGCTAGTCAGTAAAGGTATTTGAATTTGATTAATGAACAATGCTGCAGTGAACGTAATGACTTTTGTCTTGTTATTAACAGTGCAAGAAGTGCAAGTTGAAGGCAAGCATGCAATTGATTCTCCCGGCTCGCCGATGTCGGTGGATGTGCCGCCCGATGATTATAATTTAGGTAAGTTATTAATTTTTGACCGAATATTGTAGATAAATTGGTGCAGTGCTTGATACCTGGTTGATGGGGTTCTGGGAGTTCTTCTACTCCCCAAGCCCGACCCGAGGCCAGGCTTGCCTTGTGAGAGTTTGGTCCACCAGGCTGTTGTTTGGAGCGGCCCGCAGGCCCACATACCCACCACAGCCCGGTTGGTCTGGCACTTTTTTTGGAAAACAGTTTAGTTTTCTCTTGAAGATGTCCATGGTTGTTCTGGCAATATTTCTGATAGCTTGGACTTGTTGGGTTAGATTCTTAATTAAAGAGAGCACAGAGTGCTACAAGTGATATGTCATCTTCGAGTGGGCTGCTCCGGTAGATCTACAAATTTTTTTTTAGAATACTTACATCGGTTCAACATTTTTGAGGCATTTGAATTTAAAGATCTTACTGACATTTAGCCATATTAAGCATTACATGAACTAAATGATATACATTGTGATCATTTTTAATAGTTTGGTGAACAAAGTTATTTGATTTAGATTAATTCTATGTAGCACTTAAAGATAGTTAATATATATAATGTAATACTTGGTTACCTCAGAAAGGGTCATGTCTGAATTTTGAAGTGAAGTGCACCAGATCAGATAAATGTAATTAAATTTTCAGGTATTATTAATAAATATTATTTATATAATGTGTTATACAGTATTGACATATAATAAATTATAACTTTAGAACACTTTCACTTTAGAACACTTTAGAACAAGTGTTCTAAAGTTGTATACTTCACTCTCGTGTTTAGGAGAGTTGTGCCATAATAAATTATATATTATATGAACTGAAAACATTAATCCTGACAGACGACAATGAGGAGAGGTCCATGATAGAGCCAAAGTCCTATGAAGACCCAAAGCTCAAGGAACTCATTGCTATCCTCATTGAGTGGATCAATGACGTGTTGGCGCCAGAACGTATTATAGTTAAACACATAGAAGAGGACCTGTATGATGGGATGGTATTCCACAAGTTGATTGGTAAGTATACTTTATATTGTGTATTTCAGCATTTACCCTGAAAACATTTTAATAATAATATATAGGATAATAATAAATCAATTATTATTATTATTTAATAATAATAATAATTCATTTTGTCGGGACAAGCAGCCTGTGAGATATAGGAATATACATATAATATATTATGTATATAGGAACCCATAGAGAGATAACCCCATAACAAGCTGACTAACTCCTGGGTACCTATTTACTGTTAGGTGAATAGAGGCATTAGGTGATAGGATAAGTGCCCAACTATTTCTGTACCCTCTAGGATTTCAGATTGGGAGTTGAGAAGGAGCTTAACTGTGCTACCAAGATATTTGCATTAGTTTTTAAGCACAGGTTACCTTGAGGTGATTCCAGGGCTCAGTGACCCTGCGGCCTGGTCGTCGACCAGGCCTATAGCAGGTCTTAATGGCCTATAGCCTATAGCCCTTAATATAGCAGGTTAATGAAAGATTGTGCGGTACTCTGTACATACAGTACTGATGAAATGCATATATTTCACTTAATATAGCAGAGTTATTGAATATAAAAGATGTATTTTTCCTTCATCCTTAGACCACGGTTATCGTCATTCGTTGATTCACGGGGTAATGCAGTTATCATCGTACAATGATTTAAACAATTATTGTCAGTGTTTTACGTGTATGATTCAAATGTGGATATACTGTAATAGCTTTATGTGGCTGTAATGGAGTTTACCTTGACCCGTGACAAAACTCCTGTAACCATTTCATGGTTACGTGTGCTTGAAGGATCCTGCCTTCATGTATGTACCACATTGGTGGCTTACGCCTTTCTTTCATTCTATATTCTCACCTATATGGTGCCAATTAGGCCATATGCCATCGCCCAAAGCCCAACACCATTGTATATTATTTTCATATCCTTTCACTACTCTATATATGGTTGTAATGGAGTATACTAGGTAAACCAATCAACAATCGAAATACTTGTATTATGTGAGTTATCAAGTTATTCAACACACAATCTTGTAAATAAAGTGAAACAAGTGATAAACAGTGAAACACCTGAGGATAACACAGGAAGCATCAGCAGAGTCGGGCATCGGGTGTTGACAGTCGCCAGACACACCCTCCACGCACCCTTCCAAAGCTCCTCCACCTAATGAAAGAACCATTCACATTTTGCATATAAATTTATAATTCTTTAATGATTTTTTTTTATTATTTTTTAAATTTGTTTGTGCATAGCTGGTATGACCATTATTTCATAACTGCTGACTAAGTGTTAAATAGCTCTTGTCAATCCTAAACTAACACTGCTTTCATAAGAATTGTTCGTGATTTTAACACACATCTCTCTATTCTTAACCACCACACTTCGCACCTGGTTTCGATAAAACTTCATAGTGCAATTGTTAAGGACATATTTTTATTGTTTTTATAAATGTTCAGGTAAAGTTAATATCAAAATGTTTACAAACTCAACCATTTTAATTTCAAAACACAACGAGTGATGAAAACATTAAAAAAAACATTAAAATATAACGTAATTAAAAAAAAAAAACACAACTCTCGGAGCACCTCAAGGCACTCTGCACAGCACGGTGGTTAATGGGCGAACTTCTTTTGGGAATTCCTTTTCCTGAAATGGATAACAAATGTATTTTCTTAAAATGCTAAAGTTACATTTGTTAGGATTATTAATATTAAAATTGACATTGATCAGTATATGAATGTTATGTATTCTTTGCAATAATGTACGTGATTTTGAGTCTTTAATGGACTCGGCTCAGTCAGGATTGCGTTTTAAGAATGTTTCAAAAGACATAGTTTGTAAGTACAGTACTTCTCAAATTCTCAAAATTCATATCCTTAACTAATAAGCTTCATGTTTTTTATTTTTTTTACACATATTCATCTTTATATTTTCTTTGTATTTCATACAGAGATATGAAACTTATTTTTTTTATTTATTGGATCTATAAAACCCTATTTCGTTATCTATTGAAACTCTTTAATTTAAACAAATGGTGAGTACTTTAGTTGAGATGAATTTTGGTATCATTGTGAACAGAACAGCTGACCAAAAAAACCCTGAATGTTCAAGAGGTTACCCAGAGTGAGGCTGGCCAAAAGCAGAAATTACAAACTGTTCTTAATTCTGCCAATCATGTAAGTTGAGGTATTTACAATTATGATTTATTTATGGTAGGGGGGGGGGTTGATATATATACAGTAATGATAAAGTCCTATTATTCATATTCATGACATATGTAGCATACAGGAGGTCCTTGACTTATGGACATCTGACTTACCTACTCTGGCTTTGCGCCCTGGAGAGGTCACTCCAGTCTCGACAACCTGAGCACTACTCCATAGTTTCCTATGACTGATGGATGCCTACTTTACAGGCTCACTTTAGCCCGTACTACATGGACATTTCGTTCCGTGTAGCTAAATCTAGAACAACAACAACACCTGACTTACAAATGTCCTTCAAGTCCCAAGAGCCTCCAAGCCTCTTGCCCCACTGTACAAACCACTTCCAAAGTCATAATATTGCAAACTATGCTACTAATATACTATTTCAGCTTTTTATCGAGGGTAAATTCTTCAGTAAGAACTGGCAAGAGGCAAAGGTGTACCGGTGATTCACCAGTGCCCATACATCGCCACCTTTTACTGCTTCCTTCTGTAATTTTACCTCTCATTCTTCAAAAAATATAAACAGTGGATCAGACAAGGGCATTTTCGTTTTACAAGGTCAATAAAAAGTATTGTTTCTTAACCCTTACACTGCTCAGGGGTCCTTGGGACATTTACACCCCTGTGCGCAAGAAAAAAAAAATTCAAAAAATTTTTTCCGTCTTCTAAACATGTTAATTTGTGTCCCCTGAGCACGGAAAAAATAACAAAAAAATCGTAGGTGACATATTTTGGGCGCAATTGACCGAGGAAGTCTGGCAAAAAGTGGGCGTTGACAGAGCGGTCGTCAGACCCGGTCAGCGTCACCCGCGTTGACAGATGGGAGTTGCCACAAAGATATTATTACCTAATTGTTTCAATGTCTCCGATTGATTTTTTCTTAGTTTTTTTGCAGTACTATTATTCAATAGTGTGTATTGTAATATATTTATATAATAAAAGTGGTTAATAATCGCTATACTCAAAAGTATGATGTGCATATTAGTGATTCAATTATTATGTTAATAAAACAATAAACAAATAGTTTTGCTGCTATTACACTCTATACACAGGTTATATATAAGTATTGGCATGTTTTGGTCACCATAACGAACCACTAAGTTGGTATTGAGAGTCGAAAAGCAACGAGGAGTTACCGCCACACACCAGCCAGCCACTCGCTGCCACTCCCTCAACACACGCACTAAACTTTCTCCCCCAACAATACCATTTGTGGTGTTATTACACTATATACAGACGTTATATATAAGTATGTGTATATTTTGTCCACCACAACTGTACAGCTAAGCTGATATAGTTAGTTCAGGCACCAAGAGTCGTCGCTATACACAGATGGCGGCTGGCGGCTCCCTCACTCATTCAACGTCACACGCACTAAACTTTCTCCCCCAACAATACCATTTGTGGTGTTATTACACTATATACAGACGTTATATATAAGTATGTATATATTTTGTTCACCACAACTGTACAGCTAAGCTGATATAGTTAGTTCAGGCACCAAGAGTCGTCGCTATACACAGATGGCGGCTGGCGGCTCCCTCACTCATTCAACGTCACACGAACTAAACTTTCTCCCCCAACAATACCAGTTGTGGTGTTATTACACTATATACAGACGTTATATATAAGTATGTATATATTTTGTTCGCCACAACTGTACAGCTAAGCTGATATAGTTAGTTCAGGCACTAAGAGTCGTCGCTATACACAGATGGCGGCTGGCGGCTCCCTCACTCTTTCAAGGTCACACGCACTAAACTTTCTCCCCCAACAATACCTTTTGCAGTGTTATTACCCTATATACACATATTATATATAAATATCTACATGTTTTATGCACCGTAACTGTACACCTAAGCTTGTAGTGCGCCCAAAGAGCATAGTGGCCACCCTCTAAACAGCTAGACAAATCGTGCAGACGACGTCACCTCCGTCACCCATATGGCTCCTCCCAGCATAATCCTTTTGCTGTTATTACACTAATACACACATTATATATAAGTATCTACATTTGTGTTCACCATAGAGAACCACTGACCTGGTATAGTGAATGCAAACAATAACAGGTGGCCACACAGTCAGTAAACGATGCTGTCTCCCTCCGTCTCTCAGCATCACTCCTCTCACAGCGCTAATTATTACAACAATCCTGCTATTATCACAACCCTGGTTATTTATATCACAGTCATTGGTCATCTGTAATATTGTCATCGCTAAATAATAACAATTATATATTTATTTTGACATTTTTCGGTGATGCTGTGGTCACAAGCTGAACATAAATGCTGTTCGCTCATGCTGCGTGCGCCGGTCTTGGTTGCTCCAACAGTACTGTGCCTCTCACACCTGAGAATATTGCCCACGATTTTTTTTAAAAATGGCATCTGTTTACAAGAGCCCTGAGGAAGCTACTGTGAACCCCGTGTAGCCGCGGGCCATTTGAATCAGGCCTGGCACCCTATGGCGTATATATACGCCATGCGCACCATGGGACATGTTACTCAGGGCGTATATATACGCCATGCGCAGTTTAAGGGTTAAATATTATTTGTCCTAAACATTTGGGACATGTTTGTTGGTTTTTGGTGCCTGAAAATGCATTTCCCATTTATAGAATTGCTAAATGGAAAATCTGATTGAGAGTTAAGAATGTATTTTTGCGATGAATCTTATTCTTAAGTTGGGGACTGCCTGTACGTTGAATTTATGGGATTCTATTATATTTTTAGTTTTAATCATTATTATTTTATCACAATTCACAAATTCTTTTGATAAAAATCTGTCATGGCTTCTCATAAATTTGTATACTGTATTATATTTTGTTCTTTCGCTCTTGAATACTGTTGATATTTTAGATCCTTGGACTAAGTCGGTATGGACCTCACAAGTGGTCCGTAGAATCCATCCACTCCAAAAATGTCGTGGCAATCCTTCATTTGTTAGTGGCATTGGCTCGCCATTTTAGAGCACCTATAAGGATGCCCGAGAAATGTGTCATTGATGTCGTCATTGTGCAGGTGAGATTTTGTTACATTTTCATACAACTTTTTCCACATTTTGGTAATGATTAGTCTATCTTGTTTCAAGGTATAGTGTAGGAAATTCCATGTTTGTTACAGTTCATCAAACTATAGTTCTGATATTTAAAGTTGATAAGACTATACAGGTTTTGATAATGTAGTTTCCCATCATGGTATAGTGTGTTTATATAGTAGTGTAGTGGGAATATGTATAGAACTTCTTGGAGCCATCAATTATTTGTAAATACTTTAGTACTGAAATATATATATAAAAAAAATCAACATTTAGACTAGCTTCAACTTTTTGTGACTGTATAACTTGCACAGAATATTATATTTGAAATGTTGAGCAAAGTTCATGTGTGTTGTGTATATCTATAAGAGCAAGTTGGTCTAAAATTTGACGTATTTGTTACTTAATATTATACGATCTTGGGAAAGATAAGTTGCAGAACTGTATTGTATAATGTTTACATTGCTTCATTTCAAGTAAAGGATCAATATCCGGTGAGATGCATTAAATTTGTGCTATAAATGCCTCAGTTCTCTGCTCTTGTTTTTATTGTATTTGTTGTCAATTGTTCTGCACTGTATGAAATGTTTTCATGGCTTAATGAACCATTTCATAATGCCGAGTACTATCCAACACGGTCAAATTTTACTTCATTGAGCGGTAACTTTCGAGAATTTCTAAAATACCAGTATTTATGATTTTACACAGAAACGCGACGGACAACTCAATCACCGCATTGTAAATGAAGAGCTCACTGGCACTTACAATGATCTGGGCCTAAGGTGTGAGAGGGATGCGTTTGACACATTATTTGACCATGCCCCAGATAAACTGCAAGTTGTGAAGAGAGTAAGTGTAATTCTTTAGTTAATATAAATCCTGTTTAAGCCTCACTATAGAAAACTGACAATATTTTGCAAAAATGTCTTGTATCGAAGGTTCTTCCTGTAATGTATGGTGAGCTGTGTTTTCTGTTTAGTTTTGGTAGGGCTAATGGTTCTGCTAGTTACATTTTTATTTTAGGTCATTGGAAAGACATTCATATAAGAGTTTTCAAGGGGAGACAGATTCTGTAGTTTTCCTACCTCATAGGTTCCTTTTCTTCATCCTTTTTCCTGCCATGACACTGTGATTGCTTGTGGATTATCAAATTTGTTAATTTACACTTGATAGTTTTCAAATATAGCTAAGAATATTTATCCTTTACGATTATTAAATATTTAAGGTTAGTATTGAATAAGCTACAATTTTAAGTATGTAACCTAGACATTAATTATCAACTAAATTTTAAGTATTGGCATGTTAGTGCTCTGGCACATGACTCTGTTTGCATTACAAGTTTATGAAGAAACACATTGTTACAAGATTGTAGTCTCTTGGCACTGCTAGTTTAAATACTAGGTACATTCATAGCTATCAGTCAAGGAAATCAAATGCATTTTTGTGGTAATGACTTGTATCAGAGCAATCTGTATTCAGATCTTGAGATTGTACAAAATTGATGTGCAGTATTGGAGATTGTGGAAGAAATTAAATATCTAGATGCTATCTACAAAGCTTATTTTGGGGATACTGCACTAAAATCCTTTTGACTTTTTTAAATGAATACAGTATTACAAACTGCAGCCACATCCACTTTTTCTAAATGTTTCTTTAGCTCTTTTCGAATATTCTGCGCAGTTTCAGTGACAGTTGAAACACCAGTCTCTGTCTGTCTGTCCAAAGTTGGAGGTCAGATGCTTAGGGCTAACCATACCCAAATTTGTAGGGGGAATGGTCTGGGGTACAGGATGGACATGGGCTGGTCGGGATAGGTATCGAGTTAAATAAATTCAGAAGTGTTAATAATTATTCACACCACCACATCCAATTCTCATAGATTCGATGCTGGTCAAGTGAGAGATATTGGTAAATGTGCTAGAAGAGTTTTTCATAATTGGAAAAAAATATTTCCTTAAATCCATATAGTATAGGGAATGGGGAGGGGGGAAGGGGTGGGAGGGGGAAGAAGGATGAGGGGGAAAGAGGGAGGGTTGGGTGCTGGGATGGGGATGGGTGGGGGATGACAAGGGGAGTGGAGGCCACCCAGGCACTGCCAGCTATCCTTTTAGTAAACTTGTAAATTTCTTTGGGAGCTTGGCTCTCTCTCATATAAGAGAGAGAGCCAAGAGAGACACCTACTTTGCCATGGCCAAGTAGGTGTCCTTGGGTAGTAATCCATACTTCAGGTGTTAGGTGCTTGAGGGTCCCGGTGGTACAGTCAGGTTCGTTCTCGATGCACAATCGAGAATTCCGGGTTCGAATCCCGGGTGGGACAGAAATGTTTGGGCACATTTCCTTTCACCTTAATTCCTGTTCATCCAGCAGTAAGCAGGTACCTAGGAGTTAGTCAGCTTGTTGTGGGGTTGCATCCTGGGCGGGGTCAGTAATTCGGCCTTTGGGGGGGGGGGACTCGATATAAGCTAAACGTGCATGAATACACTCTGGCTTCCTGTCCCCCTTGACACAATGAATTATCCTTATTATTCATCCATATCATATAAATTAGAAATTGAGAATACACACACAGACTGAATGCCTTGACTAGCCTGAATGACCAATCAACCTGTCACTTAGGTCAGTTGATTTGCCTGTGTCTCCATAGATATTGTATGCAGTACATAAAAATGTATATCAATATATTTTCATTAAATATTCCACATTAATTTTTGTTTTCAATGCTTCTTTTCAGTCGCTCTTGACATTTGTAAACAAGCAATTGAACAAGATTAACCTGGAGGTGGGAGAATTGGAAACGGAATTCAGCGATGGAGTCTATTTGTGCCTTCTAATGGGACTTCTAGAGGGTTACTTTGTGCCTCTTCATCATTTCTACCTCACACCAAAGGTAAACATTGTTTCAAAACAATGAAACTACAGTATTTATTGTTGACCAGACCACACACTAGAAAGTGAAGGGATGACAACGTTTCGGTCCATCTAGGACCATTCTCATGTCGATTGTCGATTATTTATTGTAGATTTTAAACCTGTTGACTTAAAATGAAGATCTTGATAGTACTGGGATTATGCCATATGGAAATGATTGTAAAATTCGGCCTTAGTATATTGTTTTCAGCATAAATACAGTCCGCAACAGAATTTTATACCATGAAGAGCCTATCTTTTGCCATGGCCAAGTAGGTGCCTCCATCAGCTATAAAGTTATACAGTACTGATGACTTCATCATTAAGTAGGAATATGAAAAACTTTAGTGAAGACTATTTATCTAACGTGAATGCATTTACATGGCCTGATATATAATGAAAACTATTATGTTAAGCAATAAAAAAGGCACAAAAACGATGAAATTCTTCACACAGAATTCAAGTGTGGTTATCAGTAGGTGGGATGCAAGCGTAAACTGATCTTATCAACTCGGACAAGTATGAATGAACTGTTCATACTTTGGAGCTAACGGCTTACATTAGGAAATATTTTCCGACAAAATTTTCTCCATACACTGGAAAATTAATATTCAGGTGCAATTGTACACCGAGGTTCCACTGTATTTCCAATTTACTTTAGTATGTCATTAGACTTCAATCTTTTATATTTTTCAGAAATAATTGGGGCTTTATGTAAGAAACATAATAAACCATAACTAAATATTGACAGTTATATTTTGTATCTTCCAGACGTTTGATGAGAAATTGCATAATGTAGCACAATCATTTGAGTTGATGATGGATGCTGGACTAGCTAAGCCTAAAGCTAGACCAGAAGGTATGTATTAATTTTATAGCTTTTTGATTCTTCTATGTTTGCTATACTGTAATATTTAAAGAAACTCTTCCACTCCAAGTAAAGTTATTAGTCTCTGCCATTTAAGGACAATTATCGACATTCTCAGTGGAATTAAAAAAATAGTAATATTTGATTAATGTTTTGTTTTAGTTTCTTCTCATGCCATTAAGACTTCTTTTTATTTATTTATATATACTGTATAAGAGTTCTTGCATTCATGTATAGCCACTAGCATGCATAGCATTTCGGACAGGTCCTTAATCCTTGTAAACATGTAGACTAAACATCCATGTTCGGTGATTTGTATTTTTGAGAACCCTGACCGTTAAGGTGTAACAATAAGATGCAAAGGTAGGGTGATGTGTGGAATATATCAGTGATATTTTCAATTGATTTTGAGATACAGTACAGTAATTTATATATGGTTTTGGTGTCCAAAGACTGGAAATGGGGCGACTGATCTAGGGACTACAACCCTCCACCCACCCACCACCCATACCTTTTTTGTGGGACATTTGGGGCTTGAATCTGATTATTTAAATATTAATGTAGTAAATTAAATTACGAAGGACCACCCGCTTTTATAGTAAAGAGGGAAACTGAGAATTTCTGATCATTAGATAATTCCTAGATGAACCAGTAACTATGGATAAAATACTAGAGAATATGATCATAGAAATAATTAATGGGCTGTATAATTAAATGAATCAAACCCTCAAACACCTACATTGGGGGGTTATTACTGGAACTCAGTACGTCCAGGAACTAGTGTGGTTCGTTCACTAATCCAAATTATAATAATCTAATCCTATGAATTATAGTGAAACCAATGTCATTACCATGAATGGGAACATAGATTATAAGTATAATAATGATAATCACAATAAACACATGTTAATCCAAAGGAATTCTGCATGTAAGCAATTTCAGAAATTTAATAAATGAATACAAAGGAATCTTAGCTTAATGACGATTCCTTTGTGTAAGCCACGACGCTTCCTCTAATTCCCTGGGCTCGGCTGGCTGACGAGTGGGATGGATTAACATGGGAGAAGGCGGCAGGGAGAATTCTTCTCACGTGCTGCAAAACAAATATTTACAGTAGCAACTAATTAAACTACTGAATCTCTATGTTCAAGAAATTAAGATTTACAGGCGATAATGGGTAATGACCTGTGGTTTGGTGTTGGTATACGTCGTCACGGTCAATCACCCAGCTACTACACTACACCTTACCGGATGCATCAAATAAGGAGAAGATACTTAGCTAATATGGGCACTGTATAAGTTTTAAGATTGCCGAAATTCGCGTCCCAGGCTCTGGTTTCACCCTATCCTGGATAATGGCGCGCTTCACTGGCTGGTCACGTGTAGTCAAGAACCAGATTAAAAAGGTTCCTTATGTTACACCGACACCAGTTGAAGATATTATCTGCAAGGTTGTTCACGCCTCACAGTGGCGACTTTCATCTGAGGATGGATAACGTCTACCCTGATGACTGGGCAATGGCGTCTCCTCGTGAGCACGATGAGGACAGGTCTGCTCGAGAGCTTCCATCCACGTGTACTGGCTGGTCCTCACCCACGCCGCGTCTCGCGTTCATTAGACAAATTATTGTCATGAATATTAGTATTTCTCGCATTTGTGCTTGAAATGTTGGAGACAGGACGGGTTTATTATTTAGAAGAGGGAAATATTATTATTTGCCAATTTAGTGATAGTAAACATATAAGGGAGAGGAATTAATGTCTCTCCATGGCATTCACCTGTGACGTTAACTTTTATTACTAGATAACCGCTATGACTCTAACGCTCTATTCGGCTTTTAGTTGGAGGTCAATTTATCTGTAATTAATTATCACACAGAATGCCTTGGTTATAGAGAATCGAATTTAATTCTCAGATACATTGGATATAATGTGTTTATTGTAATGAAATCTGACGCAATACTGGCGTCGGGTGACGTGAGAATTCTAGCCTACTGCACAGATGAAATTATTAGTACATGAGAATTCTACGTGGTGTTAATTTTACTTACTACAATAATTAGTAGAGTTAGTAATAAGTAATGAGAATACAACAGTGTTGTATTCGGTGTTGGAAATTTCCAACATAACTCCGGGGGGAGGATTCTAGGGTCGTAGTGTACTGTGGAGTACTGACCTATCCCGAAGTGATATTAAGATTAGTACATTAGTAGTTAATATGTTAGTATGTTAGTACACACATAACGAACATCCCGGATTTATCAAGGACTTACAAGAACTTGAGTCTTGCTATTTACATGTCAAATGAAACATGTTATTTATAGCCTACACAATATTTATAGATTTTAACTCACACAATTTAAACAACAGAATCTACTATGATGGGATATCCTGGGTCATAGTGACGTGTAATGTTTTGTTACGTGATATCACATCGTAGCATCATCATAGTTATCTAAGTGGGAGGTGAAGGAAATTACTCTTGTTCAGAGTTGTAATAGGCTTGCAAATTCCGCCTACATTGTTGAGCAGCAGCTCTAGTGGGGCGGTTGCTTGGAGGAACAGGATCATTGTCCTCGGAAATTACTGGGGAAACTGGATCTGGCTGATATTCTTGCTCAGTCAGTTCAAGGGGAACCAGCTTCTCTAAAGTTTTTAGAGTAGTGTTGCCTCGGCATAAAACTTTAACTACTCTCAGGACACCTTGATGATCTGGATGAATGGCAACAATTTTGCCTATAGGCCACTCTGACCTTGGTCCATCACTGTCGACTAGTACTAGGTCTCCTGGTTTTAATTGCACCTTATTGTAAGGACTCGAAGCTCCGTAGTGGTACTCTCGTAGAGCTGTGAGGTACTCTCGAGTCCACACCTCATTCCACCTGTTAATAACTCTAGAAAGATGCTGGTAGCTTTCCACCAAGTCTCCTCTGGTCACATGTGACGGGTCTACAGGGTCCTCTTCGGCTAAAGGGATGAGAGGGCTCAGTAGACCTCCATGGATCAAGTGTGAGGGGCTCAGAGGTTCTCTCTGGGTGAAATCATCAGACAGGTAGGTTATTGGGCGGTTATTGACTCGCGCCTCGATTTCCACAACAATAGTTTGGAGTTCTGAGTAACTGACCTTTTGTTGGTGTAAAGTTTTCCTTAGACACTTCTTGACTGTGCCTACCATTCGCTCATAGAACCCACCTTGCCAAGGGGCTCTCGGTGCTATGAATTTCCAGTGACATTGTCGTCTCTGTAGGACTGACTGTACTTCTGGGTGATTCCAGACTTCTCGCAAACAACTTTCTCCTGCCACAAAATTAGAACCGTTGTCCGATATCATTAATTTAGGACACGATCGGCGGGCAGCAAATCTGCGGAAAGCTTGAATGAAGGCTTCAGCACTCATGTCTGGAGTGACCTCTAAGTGTACGCCTCTGGTTGTAGCACACGTAAAGAGACAAATGTACGCCTTCACTGGTATATTATCTGGGTTACCAGTGAGGAGTAAGGCTCCTGTATAATGAACACCAGTGGTTTCGAAAGGACGAAGATGAACCACTCGCTCTTCTGGGAGTGGGGGAGGTCCTGGGTAAGGACATACTCTAGCGTCGTATCTCTTACAGATTACACAAGATTTAATAATTGTCTTAACTGTCTGACGACCTTGAGGAAGCCAGTACTTTTGTCTAAGGTCGGTGAGAGTATCTAAAACTCCACCATGTAAGGTACCATATTGATGGTGGTGTAAGACAAGAAGTTTAGTGATGATGTGGTGACGAGGTAGAAGAATTGGATTCTTTGTGTCCAAGTCAATTTTTGCATGAAGCAAACGTCCTCCACATCGTAGTATGTTATGAGTGTTGGCATCGTACCAGATGCCTAGAGATTTAGTCAATTTATCTGGAAGATTCTCATATTCACTTCCATATGTCTCTTGTTGTGCACGTTTGATCCAGTAGAGGATAGGATTGGGAAACTTATGTCGAATTCCTACCTTAGCAAGGAAATCAAACACGTGTGCAGTCACTCGTAACAATTTGCTTAAGTTAGAATAATGATGAGGATCAATGGCTAATATTCGTTGAGGTTCTGGTTCTTTCATGGGAGTGGTGATATTGGTCACTATGACTTGTGGCTTTTGTTTGGGCCACTGACCATCAACAAGCCATGAAGGTCCATTGAACCACAGCGAAGACTTGACAAGTTGTTTTAATGTTAATCCTCGCGATAAATAATCTGCAGGATTGTCCTTAGTAGGAACATGTCGAAATTTATATCCAGCAGATAAATCATGAATCTCCCTGACACGATTACTGACGTAAGGAGTTTTGTTATTATTGTTTCTTACCCATTGTAAGACTGCCTCGTTGTCTGACCACACTACAATCTCACCAAAGTGGATATTATTGAGTGTCTTTGCCAGGCAATGAGCCAATCTTACTCCCACTAGCAATGCAGTCAACTCCATCTGAGGTAAAGATCTCTTCTTAATGGGAGCAACTCTTGCTTTAGATGTGAGTAAAATTGATTGTGCACTGTTAACTAAATAGGCTACTGCGCCATATGCTTTGCCAGAGGCATCGCAAAAAACGTGCAAATTGGTGGGTAAGTTTGGTCCTGAAGCATTACGAGGAAATTTCAAAACGCCTAACTGATTAAAATCCGTTGAGAGTATTTGCCATTTGGCTTGTAACTCACTTGATAACGGATCATCCCATCCCATATGTTTCTGCCAGCACTCCTGCATTAGGAGTTTGCCCCTTATTAATATAGGACTAAGTAGGCCTAAAGGGTCAAATGGTTGACTGACAAATGAGAGCAGTGTTCTCATGGTAAGGGTTGAATTATCAGTTTGTACTGACTTGACATTCATCTCGTCAGTACTGGTGTTCCATTCCACGCCTAGAACCTTTAATTGACTGGGTACCTGATAATCTGGAAATTCTTTCTCGATTACCTGGTTAAGCAGTTTATTATTTGAGGCCCATGACTGTAGTGGC